CTCACATCGGGTTCGCCTAAACAAATCCGGTCAAACATGCCTGGCCGCCCTTCCTGACAGCTCACGTTCGACAGTCCCGGTCAACATGCCGGAGTCACCAAAGTCAGTATACCGGTGTTGGTCCGCTGCGCCATGCGCTGGCAGGAAACTACCTAACAGCAGATCCAGAAAAAAAACAAGCGTGCCAGTAAACATGCCGTGCTCCCATTCCTGACAGGTCAAGTTGGGCAGTCTCGGTCCACATGCCAGGTTCACCGCTGTACCTGCAGCACTGTCCCGCCGCTGCGCCATGCGCTGACAGGCGACTTCCTCACAGCGGGTTCGCCTAAACAAATCCGGTCAAACATGCCTGGCCGCCCTTCCTGCCAGCTAAAGTTCGACAGTCCCGGTCAACATGCCAGAGTCACCCACATCTGTCTACCGGTGTCGGTCCGCTGCGCGATACGCTGGCAGGAAACTACCTAACAGCCGGTTCAAAAAAAAAAACAAACGTGCCAGCAAACATGCCGTGCTGCCATTCCTGACAGGTCAAGTTGCGCAGTCTCGGTCAGCGTGCCAGGTTCACCACTGTACCTGTAGCACTGTCCCGCCGCTGCGCGATGCGCTGACAGGCGACTTCCTCACACAGCAGGTTCGGAGAAACAAATCCGGTCAAACATGCCTGGCCGCCCTTCCTGACAGCTCAAGGTAGACAGTCCCAGTCAACATGCCAGAGTCACCCACGTCTACGTACCGCTGTCGGTCCGCCGCGCGATGCGCTGCCGGAACGTGCTGCGCTCTGCGCTGTCCGCTCGGGCACAGTGCCTCGCCACTCTTCCTAACACATCACGTTCTCCATTCTCAGTCGCCCTGCTAGCTGCACCCCTCTACTGCCCGATGCCGAGATCCGACCGCGACGGACGGCGACGGACAGCATGACCGAGACACCGACCGACAGCAGAACGGACGCTATGACCCAGGAGACAACCGACGACGCAAGCTGGGACTACATGTGAACAGTCATCCAGTGTGCGGCATGCCCACGGCCACAATTGCACGTCTCAGGGCTCTATCCACGTACTGAACCTCTGACCCCACCGCCGACCTGGGTCCATTGGGGTCAGTCCTCCAGTCCACGCAGCAATTAGCCCCGAGGAAACAACTATGGTCCCGTGGGCCAAAAAAACACCACGCTCAGTCTTGCCTAACCTGAGGTTGAATCCTGGTCCTAACCCAACATCTCTGGGTAGGTCCAGCATTGGGTTGGCATAGGACCAGACTAGTCTGATAGACACAGGTGGGGGGGGGGACGAACAAGGTACTAGCAAAATTTCAATTCAACACACACGTAGATACTATGTGATACACACATATATATATATATATTTATACCAGCTAGAACCGCACAAGGCGGTGGCGGAAGTTTCAAAATAGGAAACCTATAGGAGAGGTTCGTTGCTGTGAGTGAGGCATGGCAGAACGAAGTCACTGCTGGAACGAAAGGTGGCTGGAGAGTCGGCCCATCTTTCTGTCTTGCTATCTGCCTGTCTAACTAACTAACTAACTGACTAACTAACTAACTATCTAATTAACTAACGAACTAACTCACTGACTAACTGACTACCCGACTAAGGGACTAACTGACTAACGAACTACCGAACTAACCATCTATCTATCTAACTAACTAACTAACTAGCTCACTAACCAACTAACCAACCAACCAACCAACCAACCAACTAACTAACTAACTAAGTAACTAACTAACTAACTACCTCGACCATGCTGTTGTTGTTGTTGTTGTTGTTGTTGTTGTTTTCTTCATTGTTGTTGTTGTT